GTGGAGAGGGTAGTGGCTCCCCCTATCGAGGAGGGAGTGAACATGCCTGCGACATCTTTTTTAGGCTCAGAAACGTTACTGCTTGGACCATGGCTGAGGAAAGACAGGCTTGGGAAAGGGGATGCAGTTTCAACTGGAGCTTCCAGAGACGTTGCTATTGTTGCTGCGGTTGTTGCTGCTGACAGTGGCATCATTAACGAGGAAGATGTGACATTTCCAATGGCACTTGTTCCACCAGAACATCCTCGACTCCCAGAAGACTTTCTCATGTTTGCCTTTTGTTGAAATGGTCCAGAAACCCCACAGGTTGAAGGCAAAGGATTTTCCCTTTTTCCTCTTGACCTCTGGTATGGTGTCCTCCTTGGCCCACGCTTGGTGTCACTTTCTTTATTGGGCATCTTATTCCCTTCACTGTATCCTTGAACCAAAGCACCGCTGGTTATCTCAATACTCCCGGTGATCTTGCCAACAGACCCATCATTCGAGCGTGCTTCTTCTGGCCGACACAAAGGCGGTAACTTTAAAGCTGGTTTGTTTTTGACCATCCTCCTAAACAAGCTGACACTCTTTGTCAGATGGGATGGAGGCTGAGACGCAGAATTTTGGGAGACTACCACAGAACTGTTGCTTTCCAGTTGATTTAAACCATTACTAGTGGTCACAACGTTGGAACCACTACTACAAGTGGCGCCACCTTCACCATTGACAACACCACCCACATATTCTAACACTCCACCAGATGGCGTTGAACACCGGGACAGGCTACGCCCAGTGTCACCCAAACTGCCATCAAGAGAAGACACACTGGACTTCATGCTAGTTAAACCACTGGCGACTTTTCCTTGACCAGAGCAGGTGTCCGAGACTGGACAATTGTCCACCTTGGTGGTTTCCTCAACCTTCAGGACTGCTGGGTCTACTGCAGTTTGGCCACTCAGAGAACCCTGACCTGGGACTTGTCCCTGGTTTATCAAGACTTCTTGCTTGGGGCGATCTACTGAAAGATTATCTGCAATACTGCTCATGGAAACAGCACCAACTGAGGCATTGACCATTTTAACATGTGCATCCCTAGTTGTTATGGCATCAGTAGGCACTGTTGGTGTACATTTTAAACTGCTGTCGCTAGCGTTTACTCTAATATTGCATCTGGCGGTCAATGCACTGTCAACAGAACTGGTTGTAATGGCAACGGATCCTTTACAAGGGACTGCTGACAGAGAGGGGGGTGTGCTGTTGCTGGTAGACAGTGCGGGGAGACTGCTCTCCATCTCCCACATAACAATGTGGACCTCCCCTGGAAGAATGGCTGGCTCTTTGTTCTCAAAATGACACAGGGGGTGCTTCATGTCATCACACTCCATCCACTGGTGGCCTTCAATGGAAAACAGGAGTAATGAAGATTAAATTGAGCAATTGTAAATATACAAATATTCACAGATTCTGATGTGTGTGAATAATTGCAAATAAAGAAATATTCACACAAATTAGAATCTCGTATCTGTGAGATCTGCTTGACAATGTCCATTTCTTTTTTCTCTTTGGGAACAGCAAATAAAAATGTTGCTACGTACATGTATCAAATAAAAGATTTTTTCTCACTTTTTAAAAGGAAACCTTTAAAACCAAAGTGGGAACCTTTCATGGTTTAAAATGTGATTTGTTCATATTTTCAAACTTGACCGAATCTTTATTTTAAATGCCAATTCAGTCATTCATGTCTTTATACTTCATCAAATAGACTTAACATAAAACACTTGGAATCTAACACAGCAAAGGGCGTACTTTCACGTTAAATATGACATTAAAAGAAAAGTCTGCTGCAAATATGCAGCTTTTTTTTTTCCATCAAACAACAATGACCTGTTAAAGCAAAAAACCAATAAAACTAAGGTATTTAGACAAGCATCATGTTTTTATAATCTTGTTTAATAGTCATGAAATTCAATATATATATTCCAATGTATAAGATAACATGTTCCATGAGCCCACATTAAATGACTTTTTGAAAAGAAGTTTTCATGAGGTCAGTCAGGTACTTAGAACATAAAGAGTTTTCCTGTGACACCAGATTAATTAAAGAGTTAAAATAACTTCAAAGCAAGGTCAAAGAAACAAGATGATTGTCATCATTAGGCTAAAAATAACACCTTCCCTTTAAAACAATGTAGTCTATTGTTGATCAAATTGAACCACTGTCATAAGTGAACATCTGACACTTTTCACTGAAAACCAGTCACACCATGACACTTGACCTTTGACTCAATAATCTGTTGAAACTCCGCCCTTCGACAGCCATGTCTCACAACTTGAGACTTGACAATATGATTCTTATCTTTCGGAACTTGACCCTTTGACAGTCATCTATCACAAATTGCCATTTGGCAATATGACTCAGTCTTCCCGAACTTGACAGTTGTGCGTCACACTTACAACTTGGCTCAGTCTCTCAAAACTTGACCCTTTAAGTCACGTGACACCTTAAAGCTTGACATGACTAACATGACTGCCATTTTTTGCTAGATTATCTGTCACAATTCAGTATTTCAACTGCTATAAAGACTCAGTGGCACATCAACATGTGATATTTTGACCTACTTGACTTATCTGGACACTAAACATTTTGACTCTATAAGTCACAAAGTGTCACTTTACTACTGTAACTCTATCTCAATGCTTGACTCAATGCCTTACTTCTGGCATAATTTGACATTTAACCAAACTGTTTGATTCCATGTTCTGACACAAATTAAAATTTGCTATTTTACTCGTTTTTAGAAGTTGCAATGTGATGCATAACCTCTTTAAATATACCGTCGTTATAATTTGACACATGACTGTATAAGACAAGGAGTTGGTTACTGAAGTCATCCTCTCACATTCAATATCAGCAGTTAATAATGAAACCAGGGGGTCATAAAATCATCACAAAGTCTGTTTTTTTTTTTTTCTTTTTTTTGCAAATCAGTGTGTTACACCAACATTATTTAAGAAGTAAACAAAGATTACCTACAGTTATTAAGTTAAGAAATAAATACACAATACACTTTTTTTTTGCATTAATCACAACTTTAAAAAAATTCTACTTGATTGACAAAACTTTACATCAGAAAAATGTGCAAAAAAGAGTATTGCATATAGCACATCAAAATACAAAAAAGTGCTACTTGCCTGTTTCAACCTACCTATTGTTGTTAAAGGGCGGCCGGTTTTTCTCCAAGTATATGGCATCATTATTCCAAAACAGGCTGCACAATAGCTGGGTTGCAAAACATTTTTTTTATTTTTTAATTTTTCTTTTTTGATTTAATGCTTTTTTCAAAGCAAAAACCCTTTCCCACCCTCACCCCTCCATCACTCTTTTTCATTTCTTTTTTTTTTTTTTTCCCAGAAAAAAGTTTCAAAATTTTCCAAAACTGATTTTGGGTGTGCTTTGGGTAAAGAATATCAAACATGATAATTTATTTAAACACAAAATGTCTTATATTAGTTTTAAAAATTTGTTTTCGTCCGAAACAAAGTTTTTCCAGATATTTCAAAATCTGTATTTTACATTATGACATTGCAAACTGCCACATTTTCAGACAGGTCACAAAAGTTATAAATTTTTCTCTCTGGCTCACAACATGCAGTCTATAGACAAATTGAATGTGTTCACCATATTCAGAGAACCAAAGTCACAAAATTAACCTATGCAATAAGAAATGAGACAAAGCCATAACTTATATTCTTGTTCTCATATAAAATGAAATTTACACTATTTATTTTAATCATCTAATTTTTTTTTAATGACTAGTTCCAAAAATCAGAAAAAAGTTATTTTTGAATTACAAACACCATTTTAATCATGTTACTTGTAGCCACACAGTTACCATAAAAACTTGTGTATGAAAACTATAGTAACCATGGTAACTCACCACTAAGAAAACAAAATGCTTTTTATACACGTTCTCTGTTCTTACCAGCCAAGGACAAGATAAAAAGGAATCATTTTCAATGGTTTCTGAACATTGTCCCAAACAAGTTTGAACAGCCTCAACTCCACCAATATTTAAGAAGATGACGCAGAAAACCCATCTGTATAAACCATAATGCATAAGACAAAACTCCATCAGTCCAACAGATGCAACGGAAAATGAGACGCTTGGACGACGAACACAGACTTAAAAACCAACTCACCTGGCAAACACGGGTACAAAAACTTATGATGTCAACACACTTCCTGAATTTGCAGACAACAGCAGACGATGATACGTAAACAGACTTTTCATTTGAAAACTATACCCATGGGTTCCTAACTTCAAATAACCAAGTCATTAGCTTTACAATTGTAGACAAAAGACAAAATATAGCACATGTACTTGTGTTTATCTGTGAGCATGTAGGTCTCATTGCATGGCAGCATGTTTATTTGTTTGTGCATGTGCATTTTTTTTATTTAACTGAATGCAGTAACTAGGATGTGTAATTATTTTCAAAAAAATTTGACGGAAGTTGACATAACTGGACATGTGAAGAGTCTAGCTATTACGTGGTATATCCAGATTCTTTTGGCTGAAATAAGTGTTTGTACTGGGACCTGTTCACTATCATGAAATAAATTAATAAATAAATAAATAAATAAATAAAATGTAGAATACCAAAGACTGCTGATAACAGTAGCAACCACATTTAAGTATTTGTCACCAAAAATAATCTGAAGTTGCTAACATTTATTCGGTCTTTGGACTAATATCTCAGATAAAATTTTGTTTGTTTTGACAATGAGTTTAACTCAATCTCTATGGAAACAAAAGACCACTTAGGTATGTTGCCAACATTGAGTACTTTGTTCCAAACATTCATGAAATGTTTTCAGACCAAAACTGCAAAGTCAATTTTATGCAGGCTGCTATATTTAAGTAGTCTTTTATTTAGTCCACTGAAAAAAAGATTGTAGTGAAACAGGCCCCTGTGTTTATCATACCTACTTCTATCAATACATTACCTTTTCTAACCCAGGCTGCAAAGTGATCGGGATCTGTCTTAAACTGCACCAGGCCGCTGATGCCATAGCTGACTCCATTTTGACTAAAGTCCAAGTCAGTGATCTTTGACCCCACTGGAAGTCCCTCCACAAAGTGCATGGTCAGCACCTTCGGATATCTGGTTTATGAAAATATTTATTTTTAAAATATAAAAGTATTATCATGATAAAACAATTAGGAATATCAAAACAGTCCCTGCTTGCAAAATATGCTAAAGAAATGGTACAAAGTTTTGAGAATTCTCCCACTTTTAAAACTTTAATCAAGTTTAAATAAGAAAAAGTTAGAATAATATTCACCTGGGTTCAATGACTCAAATACATCATTTATTTTATAATTTTTTTAACCAATGTGCTACTAACAAAAAATTCAATTATTAACATATTAAGGTGTAGTTAAAAAAAATCACTCAAAATTTAAGAAAAAACCCTGTTCACCCCTCGCTGGTAGACCTGCGCGTCTCATACCTCTCTATGTGCATGGTCCTCTTCTGACTAGCGGCGTTACACTTAAAACATGGTCGCAGGAAGCTGGCGTTCGTCATGCTGAAATCAGGGGCCACACTGGGAAATGTGGGAAGAACCTTACTGTGCCTGGAATATTGTCATGTAAATTGTCAATAGTGAAAGAATTCAATAATAAAAGAATTCTACTTCAAGAATGGTGCAAACCATTAACTGACTTACTTTTTTTTTATTTATTAATTTATGTATAAGTTCTGAAAAAATGTTTTACTTATGACAATTCATGGCCGTTCTACATCAGATTTTAATTTGACTATAATACATAATTCTTTCAATCAACTGGCTAAGAGACACTTTACACCAGAAAGTACCTGGGGAATTTTTCTTAATTTCTTTAATAAATACTAAAATCCCCCAAAGTCTTACCTATCTCGCTGCTCATATCCACACACCTTGCACTGCAACAGCCAAAGGTAATCCACCCTGAACAAATCCTCCATTTTGTTCTGAGTCACCAACAGCGGTAATGCAAACACCGGGCTGTCGTTACGTCCCTTCCGACACTGAAGACGAGGCTCTAATTGCTGCCAGATCAGCTCTCGTATGTCACTTAAGATGTTGATGCCTTTCATGAGTTTCTCTCTCAGACTCTCTTTCACAAGATCATCCCCCTGCTCTTGCTGCTTCTGGAAACCGCTTTTGGTCTCCGTGCCGTCTCCAAGAGAATGTCCATTTTGAATCACTTGTCCTCCTTTAGCAAGCAGTTGACTTATCATCAGCTGACAAATATGGGATTTTGTCACCTTCCCTGACCGTGAACGTTTTGTTACAGTCACTGCATTTCTGCCATCACCCTTCTCTGAGAAGATTGTGGAAGAAGTATTCTGGTTGGTTGAGTTTGTTTTCTCTCCACATTCTACACAAGATTGCTCCATAATTCTCTTCATTTCCAAATGTCCAAAGCTCTGTGCTTTGCCCAGGGCAAGTTCACTCGCATTTTCAGTATCTGCACTTTTGTGGTGAGCACTAACTCTACCGTGTGCACCATCTTTGTCATCCCCGACATTTTCCAAGTCATTCACAGCCCTGACCACTGTCACAGCCTGGCCAGTCTGTGCTGTGGTCACTACAGGTCCACTCACTGTCCAGCAATGTCCTCCTCCAGTTTTCACAGCAAAGTTATCGTCTGGATCACTTTGTCTCCGCCTCATCCCATGAGAACCTTGAAGAACCCCATGCCCAACTTTCCTAACAATGTCAACTGCTCTGTCATACTCTTCAATAAGCTTCCACAGGCTGCCACCAGGGGACTGACAAGACAGGCTATGGCGTATTGTCTTGTTGTGAACTATAAGGCACATTATTACGTCAAGCCAGCACAAAGCATCTTCGTTATACCACTGAGGAAATAGAACATCAGCATCCTGGCATTCCGGTTCTTCTGCAAGATGAGAGTTGATTGGGCTTAATTTATAGTCTGATTTCAAATTCACAGGAGGAATGTCAGCCTGGGATGTAATGTCACAGGATGGGAAGGAAGAATTGCCATTGCATTTGTCTGGATCTCCAGTTCCGTTTTGATTGTGGCTCAAGCTACAAGTGTCTTTGCTGAACATTTCATGCTCTGTTGTTGGACAAGTCAACAGTGGTTTGTGCATAACTGTCTCTATCCTAGTGTCTGCCATGGCACCTGTAGTGTCAGTGCACAAACTAGCCCCCTTTGTGCTTTCTACAGTATTCCCTACTTTGTTCACATCATGCAAATCAGTCATTTCAACAGATAGGGTTTTGCTCATAGCAGCTTTGCCTGGAATCACAGTATTTGCCTCTGAGTTGATACCAGGCACTACATGTTCAGGCTGAAGCATAGGAGATATCAAACCAAGTTCAGCTAGGAATTTGTCACCACTATCGCATGTCATAGCAGTAACTGGGTCATCTTTGACAGTAAATAGGCCATTTTTCACAATGGTAACTGGGTCATTTTTTCCAGTAGTAACTGCCTGCATAGAACAGCCATGTTCAATATCAGCATTTAAACTTTTAGAAGACGATTTATCTGCTTCCAATGTTGACAAATTTTTACAGGCTGCTGTCTCACCGGTCAAAATGTCATTGTTATCACGTTTCCCTTCAACAATTGGAGATGTTCTGTTCTGCTTGTTGTGTTCTGCTACATAAGGTCTAAAGGCAGACGTCCCTGAGCTGATATTGGACCTGAGCAAAGAAGGCGAGTGAGCATTTCCCACAGCAACGCCAGGCTTGGGAGGCAAAACTGACGATAAACTGGAAAGCCAAGACCTGACTTTTTCAACTGGTGTGGAATTGGGGATGTCATGGTTAAGTCTGCTACTAATGCCACCTTGTGGAAGAGGCCTAGCAATTTGAAGGTCTTTACCTCCACTGGCTCTGGATACAAAACTGAGCTGAGCTGGAATTGAGCTTTTCTTGGAAGTGCTGCCTCCTAGAGATGATGGACTGTCAGAGGTAGCTGTGCTTAACGTTTTGAGCTTTCTGTGTTTGGACATTGAAGAGACAGACACTGTTCCACTTTCCCCCTTTTGTTTCTTCCTTTTTCTTGGGTTTGCTATTTCTGTGTACTTTCTCTCCAGGAGACTGGTAGATAAGTCAGCTCCCATAGGATAAGGACACTGGAAATAAAATTTCCAAAAAGATTAATAATGAGCAGATAAGGCAATATGTTTGGAAAATGTTCTTATGCTAAATTTTCAAAATAGTTTATCTGCTAACAAAAAGGACATGCACTCTGCCGAATATCACAGAAATGTGAACTGCCCCAAAGTCACATTTTCTGTCTACACACCGTGCATAACTATGCTTCCATTTCATTTCATTTATTTTTCTTTTTAATTCAGATCTTAAAAATATTAAACCCCTCAAATAAATACCCAATTGGGTTACTTTATTTAAGTATAGGAAGACATGGCAGTCTTACAGATTACAGTTTACATATTAAATGCATTTATTTGAAAATGGTATGAAGCGTTTAAAATTGAAGTGCTGGGACAGATTAACTTTACATACCTAGGATTAACTTATTAATAAAACTTATTTTTAATTTTGTTTTTATTTAACTGTAATGATAATCATTGTTGTAATTGTTATTTATTATTATTATTATTATTATTATTATAAACATGACTTACTGCTTCATTCTGACACATCAACACTGCTTCATCCAGATTAATCTGTAGAGGAACAAGCTTCTTGTCCAATCCTTTCTTCCTACACAGGTCACACCACTGAGTAGTGGTCATTTTCTGAAATAAAAACATTTTCCAAAATTAAAACAACAATTGAGAAATATGCATATCACAGAGAGGAACTGAAAATTATTTTTACGCTGCTCAGTATATCTACTTGTAGTTTTAAAATACTAAAATGGTGTTTCACTACACTAGAGCTATTTACGAATAAGCCATAACTACCTGACCCACCGTCAGAAACATCGTGCTAAAAAACTTAAGCTACTATTCCACAAGAAGTGATTCACTGAGACTGCACTGGTACAAGCACATTTTGTAGAGAAATGTGAACGTCGGTACAACGACATCGACGTAAGTGAATCGTTTCTACACAAAGGGCAAGGTCGACTTGTTTCAGTTTTCACACCACGTGCCGAGAGACACCGGTTGGAAGACTCAGCGCATGCTAACGTCCCAACCATGCATCTCATACATTTAAAATCCACTCACATAAAAGCAACTTACCTTGCCAATCTTTCCTTGTTTTAAAATAATTCAACATTCATCGCTTGAAGTCACGAACGTCCTGGCGGTCGTTTGCTCGCCGGTGCACATGCCTTGCCCCGCCATGTTTGTTCGTTGTGTTTGCGATGAGCAAGGAACTCTGGGATATTTTGCCGTATATTTATTCGATTTATTTAGAAAAGATTTATAATTATCTTCACTTAATAAAATTATGGTGTAATACTTGATTTTTAAATAAAAATGATAAAAGCAAATTAATATTTGACTTGAGAATAAAAACCCACGCCTGCAAACGATATCTAAAGTTCAAGGACGTTGCATGTACACAAAGTGGTAAAAACACGTTCAATTTTCAAATATTTGTCAATGGACAGGTGATGGTGACACTCTAGAGTTGGTTCGTAATTTGGATTTTCAGAGAGCGAGACGAGACCTTGGATAGTGTAGGAGGGTGTAGGTAAGATAGAACAAGAAAATCGTAACAATTCAGACAAAATTTAGCCCTACTGAATACGGAAGACTAACTATATGTAGTGCTGTGTGCCAGCAAACTTTGAGGGGGGGGGGGGGTAGCACGAAAATTCATGCGTTAGCACTCCTATTGACGATTCTGATATGTACTGTCTGTCGTAACACACAGACACAGTTAGCACAGACAGTACATATCAAAATCGTCAATAGGAGTGCTAACGCATGAATTTTCGTGCTGGGGAGGGGGGGGGGGGAGAAATAAAAGAAAGGATGGGAGTTATTTTGATAGATAATATTTTTAGCTTTAATGCCTGAATTATTATTGCCTTCATGTTTACCCAAAGTATGGTGACTTTTATAAAATAAAGAAAGTGTTGTTGTTTGAAGTACTGGTGAGTAAAAGGAATATAACTAAACCATTTGTATAAATTCAACTTAGAGAGAAAAAAGAAAATATGGTCTTTCACGAGTACTGCACAGGTTTGCTTCCAGCCATGTAGTTAATTAATTGAGCATCTCTCTTTAAAATTTTTCTGTACAACTTTGAAGATATCCCAAAGCCATGACTTCTGTTTGTCTACATAACCTGCAGACCTAGGGTACATACCCAGAGATTTAGATCGATCTTACTCGATAGACCAAACTTCCTGGGGGTTCATGCTAAATTGAAGTCAGCCTATTGCACATGGAAGTTAATTACCCCCTTACAGCTTTTAGTATGCGGGGCAGGTATTAAGCTGGCTAAGCTGACAGCAATCTAGTAAGACTCCCCACGGGGATAGATCGATCTTAAATCTGTGGGAATGGGGTGCTACATGTACATGGTTTGTCAGATCTTACCCAATTCAAACAAAAAAAACTTCCTAATAAAAGTACCTGGCTTCCATATTTCCTTCTGAAATGTACAGGCAGTCATGATGAAAAATAATTGAGTAAAAAATGGAATAAACATGAATCTTAGAGCCGGGTTGGATGGAGCAATGATTTGCGAGTAGGAGGAAATTGCTTTCAAATTTTCCCAATGAAATTCATTTTGGTGAGTAAATCATGTAAGGTGTACCTTTTAGTGTACTCCCCAATATGAAAACTACCTTAAATTCATGTATAATGGTTTGTATCCTCTTTCAGGTCACTAAAAAGCATTGGGCTTCCAAGAAAAAGTTTTCCATACAGGTCGCTATAACAATATAACAATATAACAACTGGATTTGAAGGAGTAAAAGAAAAAAAAAGAACACGGATGTGATTGACACTGATTGCAACTTTGGCCTAAAAGTTACAGGAGCAAAGAGAAACAGTTTAGTAAAATTTCTGGGGAAGTAAGGAAATCCAAGTCTCACTATAAGAAACCTGTTCATCATTGTGTTATTTGTGACAGTTTGAAATTGTAAGAACACCCACCGCTGTACTAGACTTGTCATGAAAGTTTGTCAGCTGAAATAAGACTGAGAGTTGCAACAAAACCAAGCCATTTTGTTAGTTGAGATTAGTCACAATTTTTACAACTGCTTCTCAACTGTAGCAATCGCAATGTAGTCTTCATAAAAATCTGACAAGTACTTTATATGTTCTCACCATGAATACTTCTGACCATGCATTCGCCATTGTTGGCTCGCGGCCCAGCTCAAGCTTGAGCAGCGGTCCTCCGAGTGGGAGGAGCCGGAATCCATACCACAAGGTTTCTAATACATCCGAAGTCGATGACCTTCTTTTCAAGCCGCACAATCCCAATCCCCGTGGTGACACACAGTGGAGTGACAGAGACAATCCTTTTGCCGATCGCAAAGAGAAACCATTAATATGGTCCCCGCCGCCATCGCAAAGAGACAGCCCAAGTCCACAGAGGTCAGCACGGTCTGTTTCGCCGGCAGGGTCGAGATCAAGCACCCCCTTAGGTTCACGGTCAAGGAATAAGTACAGACTGGTCAAACACACGCCAACATACGTGGACGAAATGTTGTTTGGGGAACCTCTCCCCGAACCCACGTTCCCAGCTCCGTGGGAGAAAGAGAGTCCAAAGGTCAAACCGTTATTGTTCTCTCCCACAAACTATAAAATTATGAAGGCCGATTCATCTAAATCAGATACTGGATCTCCTAAGAGACCATTGTCAGGACGACCGTTGTCAGGGAGACAGGGATCAGCAGGAGCCACAACGACAGCGTCCAGGCCAGCATGGAGATAGATACTAGAAGCAATTCAGTGTTGAAGAAAAAGTAAAGATCTCTCTTTTTTTAATTTTGTTGTTATATATGTAGGCTCTTGTACAGTGCTTGAACAACACATTTCCTCATACTTTCAAACAGCAGAAAGAATCTACTTTTGTATTATAGGTACAAGTGATTGTATAAAGCAAGAAATGGTTTTTATTTAATAATTGCACTTTTTTAATTGTGATGTCAAAACGGTTTTATGTGATTTTTGTACATATAGAACTTCCATTGTTAATTTATATTTATATTTGCTTATTTGTATTTTTAAATTTCATAGGTGTTTTATATGCTTTTTTATGTTTTGCATGTTGCTATAATACTGGTGTTGGTTTGTTAAGTCACTGCACTAGTCAGTATTGTGGTCAGTTACTTAAGGTGTCAGTGGTTCCAACAATTCTGTCACTGACCACTGTGATATTGTTATTGGTCACTTATGTTGTCATTGTCCATGAATGTTGTTCTTGATCACAATGCTGTTGTCACTTGTCATTTTTGTTGTCACTGGTCTGTAATTGAGACATTTATTTGCTCAAACTCACTCTACTATAAAAAGCCCTTACACTACTACACTCTAGATAAGGATCTTTCTACTGTTCTACTGCTAACCTTAGCAGACCCAAAATCCCTTTGCATGCCTGGCCACAGGAAACTCAGGATATCAACCTATTTTTCTATCTCGCTTCTCAGTAATGGCGTCGCCCTTTGTTCTCCCTCCTAGCTGTAACCTGGAGTCTCTGCACTCCTCACAGCTATCTAATTTCTTTCAATCTGCCACTCAGCCTCAACTTGGAATAAAGACCCAAGACAAGCCACCCACTGATGCCGGATCACTACAATCTTCCCCACTTTATCTGGATTGGAGATAGCCATTACAATCCAACACCCACAACACACTTTTACAATCCTTGTATTCGCTTCTCAATCAGCCCAAGCTGACCTAGCCAAGGACCTCCCACTCTGTTCTCGCTACCCCTGACCAGGCTGTACACCTTCTGGCCAGCGTCAAAGTGCTCTTAGTCAAAATTGGGGCCCCAGCCAGTCTAAATACAACCGATGCCCATTTTCCTCAGTAATCTTGAGGATGTCTTCCCATTCACAACCACGAACTCTTGCCACGACTTCGCTACTTCCCCAGGAAAGCTGGAGTAGACTTACTCCTTGACAGATATCCGAAGTAGGGACCTTTGAGCAGGCATCCACTGTAGCATCTCCATTGCACTCCTACTCCTCGACGTATCCATATACGTCCTAAAAATAGAAGCAGCCCCAAAGTAGCTATTTGGAAAATGTTGTACCCACTTCTCTGCCATCTTCCTGAACCCTGTGAAACAGTGACAGTGAATTAGTTTATCACTTTTCACTTCCTTAACCAATCAGAGAATGTTTAAAACATGTCCCCATACCATGTCAGTAGTCGAGTCGTCCTTGGTCCCTCGGCAGTGGAGCACCAGTGCCTGGTCTTCTTCTAACGTAAGAGCTCTTTCCAGCACTTCAAATTGTGCTTCCCACTGCCACAATGAGGTGGTGAAATCCACACCAATCTCACCCAGAACAGACACCTCTGGGTTGCTAACTGCCTACTCAAACTTTGCCCAGCCCTCTGGGTCAAACTCGTGTCTTGGTTGCCAACCCACCAATACCACGTCTCCCTCTGCCTTCAGAGAAGCCACCTCCTCAGCACTGGGATATGTTGCTGGGTCACAGAAGATAACAGTGGCCCTGGAAACTGTTATTTCCTTGTCATCCACCTGTCTGGCCTCAATGACATCCTTTAACTCGCCGCAATAGGTCCTGCGCCCACGGCACTGGTAACTCCCCCTTGACTGGAGCCACCACTCTGCCTTTGTCTCTTAGCATGGGCCCATGCACCCAGCTCCTTGAGACCACTTGTAGAAGGTTAAGAACTAACCAAGCTCGATGAACTCCCCTTGGAGTCATCCTGTCTCGCCTTGGAGATATCTTTACGGTCCTTGGCTGCTTTTCTCAAAAGTGGGCAATCCCTGACTATGTGCCTCAGTTCAGAATATCTGAAACACCTATCCTCCTCACACAGAGTTGGACACTTACGAGCCACATTCCCCACTTTCTTGCATCTGAAACACTTCTTCTCCTCATCTTTCTTGGGAACTTTAGAAGGTACTTAAGGAGGTGCTTCCCGCCTTTCTGAGTCTTTGGCTATTTTGGTAAACCCTGCTGCACTCTTACGCCATGGTTGGTAAA